CATGTAGACAACACCGATTCATCACTTGCGAACTTGAACAATTCAATGTTAAGTTGATCAAATTTGTAATTTAATATTCAAGTCAAACTTAAAGAGGAAAAGTCGACTCAAGATGTGTGATTTTGTAAAAGTCTGCGCGTTTACCTCAAACAGCTAAAAGCATGCAAGCTGTAACTTATGGACTGATGTTTATCAACCAGGGTTGATGATGAAATAAATGTGGGGAAAGAAAAATACTTGTCAGCAAGATTCAGCCCTGTGTGCATAAGAGCTTACTAACAGCAGCTGTTTTCATAAAGGAAGAGCTTCGAGACATCCTCATATTTGGCAGCCTGAAGGTGTGAGACAGAAACTTAAGTTGGCAACCTCGCTCACCCCGTCATGTTATGTGAGGTTTAGGGAGTCCTCAAAAACAATGACATTCTTAGGTGAGCTGAGCGAGGGACAAAGGCACAAAAGAGGCATGCAAAAATAACAGGAATCATAATATTGTGCGTATCTAGACATCAGTTTCTATGCATGCAGTTCAAACTTGTGCTACGTTGAAAAAAAATAAACATTTAAATTCAGACATCAAGCCAACATGTTAAGATGCTGTCAAAGAAATATAAAGGAACAGATGAAAGGGGCTCAAATGCACACAGATAACTTTAAGAAATGAATGATGCAGTGATCTTTGTTTGGTAAACTCTAAGTAGATATACCTCCTTGCATAAGGCCGTGCGCCCACTGCATTTAGGCTGCTGGTAGGTCTTGGGCAGTGCTCTATAGCTGGACCCCAGGCGCTTGCAGGAGGCATAATCCACCTCCCTGCCCCCTCCTCCCTCCATGTAACGATCCGACAGCCCTGACACAGCATGAGAGAGCTCTTTGTCCCCGAGAAATGACTTGAACTGTGTGTACAGTTCAGGAAACTTCCTGCAAGGATATGGACAAAATTATTAATGACAGATAATTGTAGTACATCTGGTGTTTTCAGCTGGTATAAAAAGCCCTGTGACGACCATTTAGAGATAACTTTCAAATTTGTAAAGTTGACCTGAATGTCATATCTGAAAACAAACAATGTCTTAATATTTGTTGCCATTTGCTTCACTAACACTGGATATTAGCATCATAAACCATTTCCACTTTAGTTTGTCTCTTTCTATCCATCTCAAAATTCTTTCCATCCACTCACCCCAAGAAAGGAGTAACAAGCTGTAGCAGCTCAGCTCCTGAAACCACTTCTTGGTTAAACAAGGCGATGCAGCGCAGGAAGTTCTCATATACTTCCTGGCTTTTAAACAGACGACGAACCTAAACGACAGTTGGGTTGACAATAAAATTCACTCAATCACTTTAAAAAATAAAAACAAAGTTTCAGTTAAAAACAAAAAGAGGAAACATTATGGGATTTAGTATAAAAAATTAAATAAATAAAATCCAGAATTACAGCCCAGAAGAATAATCCCTCACCTTATCAAAGAAGGAAAATTCTCTTAAGACTCCATGTTTGCCAACCGAAGCAAAGGACTGATCTTTGGTACAGGAATACTTCATTTTTTTCTAAATAAAGAAAAGAATAAAATCTGAACATCACAAACTTGACCGCTTTTGGAAAATCCCAAACAGCTGTTGAAACTTTTAAAGAAAAGTTTGTGTTTATGCAACACAAAATTATTTTCTAGCAAATGAGTTGGTGCTGATGAAATGAAGTAAAGTAATGCAAATACTCTGTAACTATGTTACAAGCTTGTGAGACACATTGTGTCCAGCATGTTGCAGGCTGTAATGTCCATAACAGTAAATGACATACATCATGGGGCTTACATGCAACACATTAACTTATAGAAATGACTCAATGTAACAGATTAAAAATAAACTGATACTTAGTAAGTTCTCTTCAATTAAACTGTTACTGTGTTACTCAACATTTATCTGTATATGAAAATAAAGAAATTTACCAAAGTAAAAGCAAATAAAAAGCCCATAAGGGTCGTTCTGTAGTGTCTGTAACAAGAATGGTGTCTTTCAAAGCTCCATCTCTCTCTCTCTTTCTTTTTAATTAATCGTGAATACATCAAAATTTTAGACCCTATTTCACAAAATGATGAAGTTGCAGAAACAATCATAAAACGTAGCATTTCAGCTCATAACGCACAGCTTTTGTCTCTTTCACTGACTGACCCGCTGAAGAGAGAAGAACTTACCTTGAGCAGTGGGGACATGTGCTGGAGAAGTATGGGCCTCGGTCTCTTTTTGTTCTGTTTGGTTATCGTGTCCTCTTCCTCTGTTCTTTTCAGCTGCTCTTTCCCCCCGGTGAGCGAACTGCCTGTGAACTACAGAAGAGGAGGCACATGGGCAGAAAATGCTCAGTAGTACTTCTTGGGACTTTGGGAACTTCTTAGAGAACTGACTGACAGAAATACAACGTTTTTGACAAGTTATATATTCAGCTGTTCAAAAGTGGCACATCACTGTGACTATAATATTATCATGATGGCATTTCAGAGCAGTAAATATACAAAATCTCACTGTTGTAAACTGTGTTAAAATAACTGGAAATGAGAAATGTTGCTTTCGTGCCCGACTGCAAATTGTTTCTGTTTTCATCTCCTTCACAAGTGGAACATCAGAAATCTCCGTCTATGCTGCTCAACTCACCAGTGATCTCTTGGCATCGGGCAAGAATTGTCCAAACTCAGCCAGCAGGTCTTCTTGTCCCTTGAAGAGACTGGCAACTTTAGAAAACACCTCATCTTCTGTCATCCCACTGCTGCCTCGACTGCCTCGACTCTCCTTCACCTCCAGCTGTTCCTTCTAAAATGTTATAGAGATATACGGGAGACACACACACACAAAATAAAAACAAAACTCAGAAACTACAAATAAAAACCCTACACCTTTTATGCTATGAATATGCAGTATCCATGGTCTTACTTCTACAGTACCTGATATGTGTGAAGAATTTCTAGGAAGGCTCTATAGATCTCTGGATGGTCCAGGAAACGGTTTTTAATCTTGTTGACATAGCTGATGGCGCTATCAAATTCTACGGGGCTCGTCTCTGAGGCAGGCGGGGACACAGATGAGGTGGCTGCTGGATTTTGGCTCTCTCTGCTGGTCAGGGGAAGAGAAAGTCTGCTGGGAGGCTCTGGAGGTCCTGCTGCTGATGAAGACAGGGGCTCTGTTGTGGCCACCTTGACTTCACTGGTCTGGGCAGGTCCCACTTCAGAGTGAGAGGAAGAGGCGCTACCCGAAGTTGCAGCAACAGCAGGAGCGACAGGACTCTTCCCCTGCGGGCTTGGGGATACCTGCACAGAGATGCATTAAGAAAAAGACTGTTTATTTATGACTTGGGGAGAAATATGTGTTTGTATATGCCGGTGCAGGTGCAGCTAAAATGATGACGTAAACCAACTTTAATGTGCTTGTGTTGCTGCAGAAATATTAAACACGCAAACATAAGTTGGCTCTGTGGGTTCGTTTTAAATCCCTCCCTTAGCAGTGCATAAACTCTATATAACACAATAACAATTGTAATTGTAGACAAAAGGTACACAGTAAACATAAAGCACTAAATATTAAAAATTATTTAACAGAAAAAGTTTACCGAAACTTTCATAGGTTTTAGAAAAGAAATGCATGCATTGTGCATACTTTAGGCCTAATGTTCAGAAAGCAAAGTGACTGGATGTTTATATGAATGTATTTGTAATCTAAATTCAGTATTAAAGGAAAGTAGTTCTGATGCAAATCCCAAGTCACACTAACATTACACCTAAGACTGCCCAAATCCCATTATTTTGCCATCCACTACCTAAGCACGATCCATCTCTCAGAACAAAACATCCCTGGAAGTTAGTTCCCAGCTTTTACTTTAAAATAATAAAATTGTACACAGAAACTGAAAGAGCTGACACATATAAAAGTTTAACTCAATCTGACACGGACCAAATGCCACAGAGTGAAATCATTACAAATTCCTCAGTGTTGTCATTTTTGTATCACATCGTAAAATTCTTTTAAAGCCTAACATAGATTCCTAATCTCTGAAATTCTTTTTATATACAACTTGTATATATTTGGCTCTTTGTGATGGGATTTAAGTGCTTGTTTCAGCCAAAAATGCACAGGAAGAAGCAGAACTCCAGCTCAAATTTTGTGAAACTACAAAGCTGCTGTCACATTTTGTAGTGAAATCTTCGTGAGGGCTTTTTCAGGCAGCTCATTCAGCTGAAGTTCAGGGCAGTAGAGCCACACCTGTTTCCTCCTAAGATGTTCTGTGGTCTTAAACATATAATGCTGTCAGCATACACTGCTGTACGTTGCTTTACTGATATCTGATATCTCTTTAAAAAGAGTATCTTACCTGTGCAGAGAAAGGAGACTGAAGGAAAGCCATCCCATTCTTAGGGACCTCTATCCGATACCCCGGTGGCAAGAAGGCATTGAAGCCCAAGACGAGGTCTGGGTGTCCATGAAACAGTTGTGATACACGGTTTATCACTCCCGGTGTGTCGATGCTATTTCAGAAGACAAACAGATAGTTTAGAAGTTTGGTTGAGAAAGATTGATTAACTACTTCTCTCAAACACCACAAAGCAAAAACAGAAAACAAGTTATAAATAAGCGCTACACATGTTAGCTTTAAAGAAAAAGGAGCAAAGAGGATTTGCTTTTAGTCCTCGTTTCATTTCAGCTATGTGCAGTTTCATATGCACTGATAAACTCCAGATTGTGAAACAGAACTAGTCAAGGATTAAACTGCACAACGTAATGAAACTCCATAAACAAGCAGCACAATCACCATCTAAAGAATATGTATGGGAATGTATGTCATTAAGAATGCATTACTAGAACTGCCATTACTTCTGGTTTGCACCCTGGCAGAAGTACAGCTGCCAGTTGGTCACAAGATTGTACAAAAACCATCAAGCTGAATTTCTTAAGACTTGGTGGCGTATGGGTAAATGAAGATCCCACTGCATTTTAAAGTGGATCTGGACCACCTCCCTTAAAAACTGCACAACAGAAATCAGTGTGCTCCCTGTGTAGTAGTTACTTGTGGTTTGTTTGCATAAATGCCCAATGATACCTCTGCGACTTGAACTCCTTCATGATGTCGAGAAACTTGTTATATATCCCAGGGTCATTCGCAAAACGAATTTTGACTTGGTCCAGATATGACAAGGCATCTTCAACCTAAACATGGAGAAGAGGAAGAAAAAAATCAGTACAGAACAAAGCACAGGCAGTCTCAGCTGGACGTATGGAGCAGCATTTTCCCCTGAATCCAGTCACGGTGCTCACGGTGGATAATTTTACAGCTACAAAGCTTATTTATAGATTTCAAATGCTACGTTTTGCATTATTAATAAATGCATTTATTTCCGATTTGAACTATAAAATTACAGGTAGCCCCATCGTACAGATTTGTTTCAGTGCTGCATACGTGAAGTTACGTGAATGCTGACTGATTTCTTCACTATCAGCCAAAGTGCAACATCAACAAATCCTCTGGTTAGCAGTACAAGCTGTACAACTAACGCTAAAATAAATAAATAACTGGGCATACACAAGAGACACCAGGCAGCTTTTGTTCATTACTCCACTGCTTTCTTTCGCTACCACAGCTAGGCTAGTTTAGGTTGCGCTAAAGGGGAAAAAAATGTCTTCACACAAGCCATTGTCACAAATAGTCCACATCTTAAAGAGGGTTGTTGTAGCTAACGTTTAGCCAGGAGCCAGTCGACTCACGATAATAACTCCACCAACACTTGCAACACCTACCCGCATACAAATTTATACAATATGTTTAGTCACAGCTGGTCCCCGGCCAACAGTGTCGCGTTGGCAAAAACAGTACGACATATTAAAACACTACTATAACAAAGAAACGTGTACTGGAGCTGCTAATGAAGTGAAATAGCCGTTCTTGGCTAGCCTGGCTGACGTCCTCCACTTTGTTCGGGTGGCTGAAAAAACGAACAAGGAGGAACTTCCCACAAACGAGGTCTGAGTTAACGTTTGCTCACAGAAGCACTTATTGATATGGCAAATGAGAAAGTACCACTAACTGTGCCACTCCACTGTCACTCGCACATCCACTAAACGAAACACAGCTTCTAAATCCAACATTAAATGTTAACGTTAGGCTGTTTAGCAATGAATTACTTTTAATAGGCCAGCGAGCTAACTAACGTTAGCCAGCCGTTCCTTTCACTACTCTCGACGACAGAAGAGAGAAAGAGAAAAAAGCCTCAAATCCAATGCAATGATCCGACGAACAAAATGGTTCTGACTCTCAGCCACTTTTCCCTTGTCATGTCCGTTGTCTCCTTACCTTCAGCTTCTGGAAGTGCTGCTGCTGCACTTGCTTTTGTGTTATAACGTAAGGCTTGTCTTGAATTTGGTTTATTTGCTTCGCGGTGCTGTGCGCCTGAATCTTCGCCATTATCCCGGCGACAGGAGGCTCGAGAGCCGCTACCACAACTTAAGAGGGAAGCTTCGGCGTTACCTCCAGTTGTTGGCTAGCCGACAAACCTTGCTCTCGGTCGGGAAGCCAGCCTGCCAGCAAGCAACCCTACTCTGCCTAGCTGGACAGTCTAGGTACAGAGGCAAAAAAAAAAAAGGACGGGAAATCCAGCAGAATGAAGGTTGATGACAGACAACCTGCTACTCTCGGTGACTTTGATGAAACATCACCATCGAATTAAACGAGCCCAGGCAAGAAGTATCGGAAAATAAGCCCAGAGACAATGGTTACCGTTTTTCGTATTTAAAAAAAACTAAAGCCTGTCTCTTTAAATTCGGCGGCAGCGCTCTGTCTTGGCGTCCGGAAGCCAGAGTAGGAGTGAAAAAAAAAAGTGAAAAATTGAACTGCGCAGTCGCAGCGATGGGAGGAGCTGAGTTCACAAGAATCAGATTGCTCCACTCCCCCTTCACTGCTACAAAGGAGCAACGCTACTCCATGCAAAGGATGGCTGCACACTCCACAACGGTGCCCACGGAGCTCGACGGTGGACCGAATGCCCACTGTGAGAAAGATCGATACAGGGCTATTGATAGACACCTACGGCTCATTCAGAGGGCATTCACAATGGATTCAGCTTTGTTTTCCAATGTAGGAGCCAGAGGCAGTTTCAAACAACTTCAATGGATATGAGGAAGCAAAGAAGAAAGGAACAACTATTTTGCTTCGAAAGGGTTTATTAGTGACTCATTTACACATGGTAAGACATTAGGAGTAATGATGACAAATGACAGAAAAAACAAACACAATTTGTGCATTAAATATCTACAACAGTGTTCATTCTACCACTGAAAGGTGCTGAAAGGAATCCATCACAGTGTTAATCTATGGGGACTTGGCTGCTAGTTTCCACCTTTGTAACCACTGCTGAAAAGTCAGTCCTCCTTTACTGACCTCGGGAAGGACATGCTGGGCCGACCTTTCCCACCTACAACACACAAAACAGGGAAGTTAACTAGAGAATGAGACGCTGCACTACTGAGCAAGGGCATGAATGGAAATAATTAGAGCCAATAAATTCAGTTAGATATTGGCCTCAGATAGATGTGCTGGCATGAATGTTTTATTTTTTGTTTTGTTTTGATTTTTATTCAAGCCATGAAGTCATTTAGAAATGGTGTAATCACCTGTCTGTAGATAGGCAAGTTAACAGTAAGGTTTAAGACTTCGTTTACTACCAAAGAATTAAGAAAGATGGTCTTTTTTTTTT